GAAGTTATCTACAGTGTTATGTATGGGGGCATTATCTATAGTGTTATATATGGGATGTTATCTACAGTGTTATGTATGGGGAAGTTATCTACAGTGTTATATATGGGGATGTTATCTACAGTGTCATGTATGGGGAAGTTATCTACAGTGTCATGTATGGGGAAGTTATCTACAGTGTCATGTATGGGATGTTATCTACAGTGTCATGTATGGGGAAGTCATCTATAGTGTTATCTTATGGGGAAGTTATCTATAGTGTTATTAGAGAAGATAGACAGAGAGTTGGGAAGTTGATTCCAGTTGCCATGAAGCTTATCCAGACTCATGGCGACCCAGGGGTGTCTGGAGGAGAACTGGGCTCTGTAAGGCTTTGAGTGACTGGCGTTTTGTTGTTGTTGCTCGTTTGGAAGTAGCTCACCAGGCTTTTCTTCGAGGTCCAAACATGTTAGCCATTTGTACCATTCCGGGGCCGTGGGAGACTGCCAGGGCAGGAGATAAAAGGTTAGCCTTCTTGATTCTTTCAAGTGACCTCGAAGTTCTCCAAGGCAGATCCACCAGAGAAGCTGACGGGCAAAGAGCTGGAGGAAGGTGGCTGTCATCAATAAGCCAGCCATCTCGGGAGCTGTGCCTGGAGACGTGTCTCCACCACAAGTGGGGTCCTTTTAGAAAATCCTTTTGTTTGACTTTTTCATTTTCCACCTGAGCACCTCATGCAGGCCCTGCCTCATTTCAGGGAGGTGGCAGGCGGGTGCCTTGAGTCCCTCACCATTTGGTGAGTGGGGCGTGGCGGGCAGTTCAGACAGGTAACCAGATGGTGACTACATGGAGCACAGACCTGTGGAAGGGGCAGTCGTGGACTCTGGGAGTCAGAGGAAGGCTGTCTGAAGGCAGTGCTGACTCACCTGAGGTGAGAGATGGGGACGTTACCCCGATCGGATGTGGAGGGATGGGGGCAGGGGACACTGCAATGTGTGCTCAGTGTCAGCCCATCTCGGACAGGTTTGTACAAAGCATGAGGGACAGAGGTGGGAAGAGATGGTGCTGGGAAAGTCAGGCGAGGTGAAATGGGCAAGGGCCAGGGAAGCCCCTTCAGGGAGTTTGGACTTATACTGTCAAAAATGGTGTGTTCATCTGGGTTGACTAGAGAAACAAATTCATAGACACTAATATGTGTATAAGAAAGAGCTTTACATACAAGAGCAATTGAATATTGAGAAAACATCCCAGCCCAGTCCAGATCAAGTCCATAAGTCCCATATTAGCCCATATGTCTGATACCAATCTATAAAGTCCTCTTCAGACTC